CTGACGTGACGTAAAATGACGCGATATTGAAAAAAAAGCCGTTTTTACGAGCAGTCCAAGAAACGCTCACTTTCTCTACTAAATTAGTGCCCTTATGTCGTTTTAAAACATTTTAAATCCTGCATTAACTTTTCATATGGTATTTTCATACAAGGCTATATTAATTTAGATTTTTTTTTTACCTGCAATATGCTCTTTAAGTTCAATGTTTGGGACTCAAACTGGATACGTAAAGTTGTTCTTGTAAAAACGAATATGAACTCACAGACATTCATGAGGCTTCACCTTTAACGGCTGAGAGAGTCTTTGCCAGAACGCTGAACACAGAGGGCCCTCTTCTCCTCCAGAGCTCTTCTCATGACCTGTAGTGTGTGTGTGTGTGTGTGTGTGTGTGCAGGTATGACTGAAGGCTGCCTGTGCTCATGTGCATATAAAACAACCTTTATCCTGAACCATCACAATTCACCACATAACATCAGTTAGAGCTGTAAATCATTTGTGCAGCACTGAGGCGTACAAACCATCTTCAGGTAAAACATTGCATCTCAAAGGTTCAGCTAATACATAGTTTTCACCCTAGTAATTTTATCTGACAGATTCAAGAAAAAAAAAAAAAAAGTGTGTGCCTCTTTCCGGTGGCCAGCTCAAAAAATCTAAATCAAAAGAAGAGCAATGACAAACTTTAATCCTCTAATTCACTCTCAAACACACTTAAAAGTGCATTACCCAACCAGGCATTTTCTGTCATGTGTACCCTCTGACTGCACAGAAACGGTATTGTCTTCAGACATGAATGTGAAAAAACAAGATCACTAATCGCTCTATACATTCAGTCAGGGAAAGGTGTGGAAAAATGGTGCTGCCGGTTCCATCTGACTGAGCTTGTAGACGTGCAACCCATCCCACACCCTTTAAGATGGAAAAGAACATGGCGTCTCTGTTTTGTTAATGGGACACAAAGGCACATTCCAGCTCCTCAATACTGAAGGGCTTTACTGAGGCTGAGGCAAGAGTGGGCTAATGGCGTGTGGACAGACGGTTAAGGGGGGATATCCCCACTGCACTAAGCCAGCGCACACACACATATGCACAAGGGAAATTCTTTCAGCCAGTGACGGGACACCAAAAAAAAAGCAAGGTAAATTGAAAAGTAGCATGGTCAAAAATAAAGGAGTGACTATGAAGGACATACAATTGAATTGTAAAAAAAAAAATATATTTTTTAAACTTACTGGAAAAGAACCAGATAAGTAAGGAAAGAAGTGTGAAAAATGCCATTTTTTATGCCATGTGAGTAGCAAGGCTGTCTTCATGGGGATAAAGTGAATAACAAAAGTAAAACAATTAACAAACAACTATGTAAGACATTTTAAGTTATTACAAGAAAAAAAAATTCTAAAATACTTTTTCAAATATATGAGTTAAGCATAACCACCCCCCGCCCCAACCCCAACCCCCACCCCCAGCCCCCACTAAGAAAGCACTTATCAATACAACAAAACAGACAATCTTTTACTGGGTGCTTTTTAAAACACTATCAAGGTCAAAGTGCACTGTAATATGCTATGAACCACCTGCATTGGGAGTTAAATAAGTATATAGTTACATCCGTCCATACAGCTCAGTCAAGGTCAAAGTTTCCCTGGTGTGGAGCGATACTACAGTGCATATTTGTTTCTTAAGCCGGTGCTAAGTCTCTCACTCGCCCTGCAACGATACTCCACCTAAACAGAGTATGATTAACCTGGAGTATTGTGCAACAACCTGTTGAAGTAAGCAAACTATATTAACCCCACTGATGGCTGCTATCTAGACTAGGAAATAATGATCAACCAGACTGTGCCCACTCTCACTCACACTTTTACACTTGTTTCCCTCCCTTTTTTTTCTCTGACCCTCCGAATCCTGATATCCTCCAACATATTTTTCTGTGTCACTTTACCAGTTTTCAACTTCTACTCCCTCCCTCTATTGTCCTTTCTCTCACTAATTCTCCATTTCTGTTCTTCTCTGCAGGGAGAGACAGTGTGGCGACAGCTGAAGGCAACCCAGAGTACGGGCAGAGGGATCAGCACAACTATTATCAATTACATAAATAAATACCAGAAATGCAGTAAAGCGTGCAGCAGGCCGACGCAGCCGGATGCAGCAATGCGGTTGGAGCGGTGGCAGTGCATTTCACAACTTATGACTATTACCACACAGACTGACTGACAGATGTCCCATATATTATCTGCTCATCATCACTCGCGGATTGATCAGAAATGTGCATTTTATAAAAAATTGGACCACACTAAAAACACAAACTGTTTAAATATAGACACCTTTCATCACTAACATAGTTTATGTTACGTAAGAGAAACAAGAGAAAATACGGTCACACATTAATTTTATAGTCTTAAAAATCATTAAGTGGAAGTAGCAACAGATCTTTTCTTCCCTATTGTGACTTGCTTCCAAGTGTAACGGATTGTTGAAAAAGAAAAAGTATAGGACAGATACCAGGTTCTATCCATCAGTTGTAAATTGGATGTTGAGATGTGTTGCACTCAAACATGAAGGTGAGCTACTGAGCTTGCACACGATTGTGGAGGGATGGGTTTTAGACTAAATATTTGAAGAAGTCCGCCATACGTCAGTTTTTTTTTATTTTATAATTATTTATTTTAAAATTTTTGAAAGTGAATGAATGAATGGTTCACAATAAGATCTATAAAATGCACTTACAAAATAGATAGGGAGAATTTTCATTTCATGCTGAATTAAAAATAAATAACATATATATATATATATATATATATATATATATATATATATATATATATATATATATATAGAGAGAGAGAGAGAGAGAGAGAGAGAGAGAGAGAGAGAGAGAGAGAGAGAGAGAGAGAGAGAGAGAGAGAGAGAGAGAGAGAGAGAGAGAGAGAGAGAGAGAGAGAGAGAGAGTTAATTCAGAATAATTGGGACATTTTGAGACATTATTCATCTCAATGGAAAAAGTGTCCCAATTTAGCTTACCTGAATTCCCCCTAGTCCAACAATATAATGTGGCTTGCTGGTGAATTGGTTCATATTGGTCAAGAAACATTTAACAACATGTTGTTGGTTATAATGATAACACTGCCTAACAAAACGTTTCACATATAAAAAATATAAAAATAAAAAACCCAATCGGAAGTATTAGCATCCTGCTGATGCCTACACATGCAGCCCTTCTATTTGCATATAATTCACTGATATCTAAGATGACCACTGCCGCAGCTAGTGTTAACTCTGTGGCTTTATTTCTGGCTTTATCGCTTCTCCAGACTGGACTTAGCTTGGCGTTGAGTTACATGCTGCAGCTTGGCAAAGATATTTCGAGAGCCCGGTCAAGCTGTTTTCGAAACGTATGGGCTCCAAAAGAGAGCTGCAGAATAAACACTCGCCTCCAGACGTGCTTCTAAACAATTTGGCAGAAAAGTAACACACTTAATTACAACAGAGTGAAAGCACAATAAATGCTGGTAAAGTCTAATGAGGTGAGGGACATGATTCGCACGTGCCACAGACACTGGGCTCTGGCTCAGCCCAGCAATAAACCAGCCTTTCAGTATTAACAGATGGAAAAACTTGAGGGGCAAAAAGTTCTCAAAGTCAACCGGTGAGACATCAAACTATGCACGGTTGATGTGAATGCTTGTTGATACAGACCAAAGGAGTCAGCATCAAGAATTAAGGCCCATTCACACCTAGGACAACAACTATAAAGTTTTAATAATCTTTCTAATGCTATGAGAATAAGGCCACATGATATTACTGGAATTACTTTCAGAACAAATTTTTTTCCCAGTTGATGAAGAAAATCCATTAATCAAAATCCAACCGACTTTAAGGAGCTTGAGCATTTAAAGTGACATAATAAAGACAGCACGCTCTCTACATGCTCACATAATAAAAGAGAACGTGCATTGGTATGGACACTAATATAGTTGTTATAGTTCTCTTTATAGTTTTAGTTCTTATTGTGAACGGGCCTTTAGTCAGTAATGGTAAATGTTACTGTTTGACAGTATACCTATACATGCTTAAATTACTTGTGTCTTTTAATGTGGGTTGGCTCCTGGATTATCAGTGACTCAAAGTTCAATTCAAAAATGAAGAAGATGTAACCGTAAAAAAAAAAATCCAGAAAGATATAATACTAGTGTCCGTTGTGCACTGCAAAAAAATGTAATTAAATAATCAGCAGTAGACTGCTGAGAAAGACATTTGTAGAAAGCCCTATTCATAGAAAAGCACCTCAACTCACCTCAATACATAAATAACTGGCTCAAATTCTACCTTTTTTTTTAATGCTGCATGGGTTTAAAAGCAGGCTGGTAAGGTAAAGGCTAGCTGCATTCAATAATAGATGAGCAGGACTCTCTATATTAACCGCATGGGTCATATGGCATTTAGTCTGTTACACTCACACAAAGTACCCAAAAGCGGCCCAAGATGGTCTTTGTGCTACAAAACTAAAAATCTCAACTATTAATTTCTGAAGAAATGTAGCTATTTGTACTGTAATGATACTTACTGCCAGTCATGTCCATCAAAACTACTTAATTTGGATTTTTCACCCTTAATCTTGAACATTTTGTACTGCTGCTTAGTTCTATGCTGTGAATAAAAGTGAGAAAGGTGTGTTTCTGAGTCACAAGAGAGTTTATCATGGTTTGATACTACACGATCAATGATCTTACTAACTTAACTTGAAGTCTGAAAACAATTTTAGACTTGTTTTAGACAGACAAGTTCGTTTACGTAAATGCATAAACTAGAAATGCGTCATTATTTTTGCGGGTTTGCTATGATGTTGTGTAATTCGTAAAAAAAAAAACATGTAACGTGTAATATGGACTTTTTAGATATGGGAGCCAAATACGTCTAGAACACAGTTTTCTACATATTTCTACATACAGTATGCACTTGTTCCAGCATGCACTTCATTGTACGTTATTGTAGTAACTTACAGGTAATATGTGAAAGCGCTGAGGCCGGTGGGAACAGTGGTCAGTCCTCGTCCAGAACAGTCCGCTCCTCCGTCCTCGTCGCAGCGGCACAGCGGAGAGCATGTGGCCGGAGTGGACTGTCCCCTCTCCCGCAGTGGCTGACTGCCCCCCTATCCACAAGCCCAACACAAGCATTCGGACTGCCAGCATTGCCATTAATCTCTTCATTTCGACCCCTAAAGACCCTCGAAGGCAAATGCGTTGTGTTTGTTTCGCCAGCAAACGGAGGTAGTGATAGTTCCTTCAACATAAGAACAAGTACAATATAAGCTCTCAGAAGTCTTTAGTTTAAATTCGCTGGTTTAATCGGATTTTTAGACATGATTTGGGCGATTTAACGACCTAAAAATTAAGCTACAACATGTCTTATTGTTTGTGCCCAAAATAAACGTTATGCTACCTGCTTTTCTTTCAGCCATGATCGGTGTAAATAAGTGCTCTTACCTAATACCCGCGAACGATAAGCAGATCGGGCCAGTCAACGGTCATTCTGCGAGCCTCGAGCTTCACGCAAACGCAAATAAACACCTTTAGCTTAGATTCCCGGGTCTAAACAAACGGGGCTCCAGATGGCGTGATTCGCTAAGCGTCAGCTTCCAGGAAAACACTCACAAAATCGCGACAAACACAGCGGTTACAACAGCATTTTCACTCTCTCCTCTCTCTGATTTGTTTCCTGTTGAAAACACGGTCAGCTCTCAGTCGAGCCTTACGTCCCCCTTACGTCTCTCTCTCTCTCTCTCTCTCTCTCTCTCTCTCTCTCTCTCTCTCTCTCTCTCTCTCTCTCTCCTCTCTCTCTCTCTCTCTCTCTCTCTTCTCTCTCTCTCTCTCTCTCTCTCTCTCTCTCTCTCTCTGCAGGACAGCCAGTGAGGTGCTGAATATGTTAATACAAACCTACATATTAATGATTTCTCGACGTCAGTTGTTGTAGCCTATAGTGTGAAGCCGAAAGTAGCCAACTTATGCCTGTAAAATATTCAAAAGCCTCATTTACATAATCAAGAAATGGGTTTAATAATAAACCCATTAACTGGGGGTGGGGGGTGGGGGGGTTTAAAACTACACAAAAGTGGTGTTTACTTAAGTAGCTAACACCCTGTTTTGCAAAATCGCATATGAAAAATATTGGCATACATAGGCCTACACACTGGACATATAATTAGCCTTGCAGTTGTCCTCTGTGATCAATAAAACAACTCATATCATTTTCTAGATAAAACCGTAACAATTAAAAGCCGTTTATTCACTTTTAGAATTACAGAACAGCTGTGGGGAAAATAGCCTGCTTAAGATAAACGAAGAGATAAACGAATCCAAATTCATTAAAGAGAATCCACTGCGACACAGCTCAAGCAGGTATACCAGTACAGCTGAGAACAAAGTACATTTACATTTATGCATTTAAAATGGGTGCTATTATGCTTTTCCTCTTTTTCAACTTATAGCAATTAATGTTGGGGTTGTCGTGTATAAAAAAAAGATCTGCAAGGTTACAAAGCTCAAAATCCTCCAGTTCCAAAGGGAGATATTTTATTTAACAGAATCCCCTTTTTAAGAACTACAACAAACAGCTCGTTTGGACTACAACGCGTTTTTTCCCGGATCTTATGAAGTCGCAATGTTACTCATTTAAATAACCTGCACCCACGGAATAGCTACACCAAAAAAGGGAGCGGGGCCTGGTTGAGCTGCGCTAAGATGAAGAGTGTTGTTGCTATCTCAAAGAGATGCTGTTTTTCTACACCGTTTCCAAAACCCCTTTGTTGCCTTCTTAAGGTGAACAAAATTAGAGTGGTTAAATATATTTATTTTCTGCATGATCCTCTTGTTCGTTAACATTGTCAGGGTCTGAATCGGACTCGAGCTGGGTTTGAAATTGACACCATCCTTAATATTTGAGCAGAACTTGCTGTTATGGAGGGGCGGAACTTTTCCCGAACATGTGCTACGTGGTGCCATTCACAACTCATTGGGCCAGCTAACCAATGACAGCACATTTTGTATTTCAGAAGGAGGGGCTTCATCAAAAACAGGAACTAACGGTGTGTTGAAGCCTACGGAGCCAGACTGGTGCTGCGTTCCAGTCCACTTTTAAACACGCACTTGCGAACTTCCCTAAGCACTTCCCCTCGGGGATCTCGTCTAATCACCACCACCACAAACAACTCTATGATATCATATGATATCATAGAGTTGTTTGTGGTGGTGGTGATTAGACGAGATCTGTGGCCATGTTACAATCGTGTTGCATTGTGGTATATGGAGCTGCCTGAAGTGTGATGAAGTAGACTCGCTCCCTCTGTCAAAATCGAGAGAACGAGGGTCTGTCCGTATAAACTTCACTCGTCCACTTCCCCTCGGGGAACCCTGTCGCCATTTTGAAGTGCGTTCCACTTCGTGAAGTGGACGAGGGAAGTTTATATGGACAGACCCTCATTCTCTCGATTTTGACAGAGGGAGCGAGTCTACTTCATATGGTAGACTTCATATGGTAGCCAAGTGGGCACTCGTGCAACACAAGCAATGACGTACATCCGAGTGAACGAGACGGAGGGAAGTTAGCGAGTGAAGGGCATGGTCCACTTTTAGACACGCACTTGCAAACTTCACTAAGCACTTCGCCTCGGGGGAATTCCTGCCGCCATTTTGAAGTGCGTTCCACTTCGTGAAGTAGACGAGGAAGTTTATATGGACAGATCATAGCTCCCTCGATTTTGAGTCTACAAAAGTCTAGTTTGAGTCTACTGAGTCTACTTCAGGCAGCTCCATATACCACAATGCAACACGATTGTGACGTCAACGCATATTGCGTTTAATTTACCCCACCACAAACAACTCTATGACATATTAAGGCAGCTCCATATACCACAATGCAACACGATTGTGACGTCAACGCATATTGCGTTTAATTTACCCCACCACAAACAACTCTATGACATATTAATTACTTTTAAAAAATGTAAACAACTCAAACACACCTATAGAATGCTGCATTAAACAATTTCGTAAGAAAAAAAAATAAAAAATCAACCCCATAGTGGATTCTAAGTGATCAAGGGCTTAGCACATTCCAGTTCAGCCTATTGCAAAGGTTCCACCAGTAGTGGGCACTCATGCAACGTAAGCAATGACGTAAATCTCAGTGAACGAGATGGAGGTAAGTTAGCGAGTGAAGGGCATGACAATTTTGGACTGGAACGCAGCCTGGGGAGAGAGGTGCTGAAATAATGTAAAATATGTGAAAAATAATGATTTTTTTTTTTTAACAATCAAGAATGAAAACATATTCTAGTACACCCAAAAACAAAATCAAGACTTCGTAAAAGGGCATAATAGGACCCCTTTAAGTGAGTTGCATTGCATTCAATTTGCACATTTGATCAGTTCTTGCTTGCTTGTGCCCTGCTCTACTGTTGGAGCTACTGAAATAAAATATGCACCATACTGAGAGCACTGCTTAACACTGGCCTCTATAGAGAGTGTTCCCAAAAAAAGCCATTTCTCAAAAAAAAAAAAAAACATGTAAATAGACAGCCAAGAGATAGACAGCCAGAAACAGAAACGAGTTCAAAACCTGCTCCTGACTATTCAATTCTGCCCAGATTTTATAAATATTATAGAAATAAAGATGATTGGTGAGTATTAACACTTTTATCCAAACCAAATTAAAATGATAAAAATCACACACACCCACAAAGCAGTAAAGTATTGTACAAAAACTAGAGCATACGTGTACATGAAAAAAGAGATGGAAAAAAAATAAAAAGACATTAAAAATAAATGATTTGCTTCGAAAGAGCTTTTAAACATCACAGGGAATAGATGTGGAATCTTTAATTTAGTGAAACGAGAAGTGTCTAGATACTTTTGCAAGGTATTGTATATTTAAAGCATTATTTGCAGATATTTACAGTGATATTTTTCCTTTTGGACTCTCCAAAGTTTAGAATTAATTCATATTTGAAAGGGCCAAGAGAATACAATATATACTTTAACCATTCTTGCTGCATATTAGCACAAACTGTCTGTGATAACATAAGAGAATCCTTCTCTTAGTCTGCCAATGCTCCTGTTTTTATCAGCTTTATAAGCCATTATAAAGTTTTCATAAATGTCCGCACAGCTACAGATTGCTGCACCACCCATGGGATTACATGGCACTGACTCATAAACTAAGAGGGTAAAAGGAGAAAGACAGAGAAAAAAATAGCTTAATGTTTTGGCCAGAGTACGTGTGCTTTGTAAGTTCTTCCATGTTACCTCCTCGATACAAGCTCTACTCCACTGACGTCACGTCAGGTTTATCTGGAATCATTAAAGCTTGCTTTTATAGGCATATATTTGTCCAGACTGTAGCTCTTTATCTTATCTGCCAAATGCTACGCCTCACACCATTATCATTCTATTGCATTTGACTATGTTATTTTGCAGTGTTTTATCACAATTTCTGTTATGCCCAGATGCCTACAGGGACAGATTTTTCCATGGAGTTGCATTTAACCTTGCATTGACCAAACGTAAACAGAAAAAAAGAGAAAATGGTCTCAAGTGAATTGGTACTCCTTTTTAGAATAAAAATAAATCTTCCCATACTGTTAACATTGTCAAACTTATGAAGGTGCCCTGGCAAATGAATGTTTTGTTTTTAGTATATTGTTTTGATGTTCATCTGATTTAGTCACTAATAGAGGTAGGCCTATGCTTTGGGTATGTGAGTAAGGTCTGTTGAATTCATATGCTCTGTGTGTCAGCAGCCACCATCAAGTTTGCATGTTTGGGAAACAGAACAGCATCGGAGCTCATCCAGCTCCTGTGTCAAAATCTGTCATCACTTTCTTTAATTGATTGTGTGAGTATGGAAATATGACATACATAGATTTGATGACCTAGCGGTTACACAATATCAAATTTATAGAGGCAGGAATATTGTCATTTTGACACTGGGGTTCAATCTGATTGTCGATATGTGCAGCAGCAGCGGCCTCGGATCCCAAGGGCAGGATGGGCCCACGAGGCAAAAAGTTTTCATGCAAATGAAATTTGCATTAGCAATAGTGGCAAGTGACCAGTGAAAAGGCACTTGTGCAACTTGTTGTGATAGATGGCCCAAAGAGGAAATGACATGGGTGAGAACACATTTGAATGGCACATATCAAGATCCCACGGCAAATAGACAGTGACTATCAAAACAGGGTTATCAAAGTTGTGAAATGGGGAGAGGGAGATATAGACACAAAATACAATAAATTCAACTATTGTTATATCTACCTTAATTGATTAGACCTGATTTATAAAGACGAACACAGATAATGTGCTTTGTCAAATAATTTTTGTCAAACTTTACAGAGCTTGAAGATTTTCTTTTTAAATGATCAAAAAGTACATTAAAGTTGGCATGAAACAAATGTTCTGTCATGACAACTCTCTGAGAGATTAGCATGGTAATGGATGTGGGAATGTTAATGTATTTGGTCTTGGCGGAACAGATCTGCTACACTGCTGCTGCTGCTGAAGAGCAAATGAGACCTGCCACTGCCAATACATTCACAAACATGCTGCTGTGAGCATGTAAGGCATGCTGCTGCTGCTGCACATAACATACATGAAATACCCCCGAAGCATATCTATACAGGTGGAGCTGGGGAAGATGGGGGGTTTCTGAAAGTGCGCTGCAGACTGCTAACAGCAAACAATGGCAAATATTTGAATGTTGAGCAGAAGCT